GTCTAATCCCTCAATTAAATAATCCAAAACACAAAATAATGCATAGCGCCGTGAAATAATGTCCAATACTGACCTGGGCGACCACGATCACTTCACTCTTTTACACTTCAAAAGAATGGCCAACATGGATGAACTTTTATGTCAAATTTTCGTAATTCGCGTAATTGATTGGCTTTAGAAAGCGCGCATTTTAAATATCAACGAATCACGAACGTAGGTTTGGCCACTTATAGATGTAACGCTGTAATATTACTACTACGTAGCGATTTTAAAGACATTTTCACTTCGACTAGAGATGGGACTCTACATGATGGGTGGATACACAAATTAACGATTTCCGAAGTGAAAATCGAAACGTCAAAATAAACATATTTCAAACAAAAATTGTGGTTAATTCCCAATAAAAACTATAAATAAAACACTCCATAATATTTTGTTTATTAAATTATGAATTTTTCTTGCGCCAATGGAAGACCCCCAATAACACAGTTAAGTTAGAGGTAATGGATTTTGGGAACAGCTATGACCTTGAAAATGCCACAAAGAATATAACTAAATATCTCTTTTCTTACTCAGACTCTTTAAAGTATTTTACAATATTTTAGAATCGAAGGTTGTAATTATATTATTATTGTATTGCGACTGCGCTTATTTCTTAGTCGCTCGAGAACCATTCTTCCGTTGCTAGTCGCGTAGAAACGTACGGGTTTACAGTGCCGTATTTTGCTTATACTGAGTTATTTTTGTGAATAATTGTTAGTATTGTGAAGTTGAACATGAGTAAAATTCGAAATGGTATTAATAATCTTAAACTTCCAAATTTGTTAAATATATCTGCCGATAGACCATATTTTTATCATGAAAATAATAAAATTGTCTTTTCTTTTGATACACCTCATGTATTAAGAGCACTTCATAATAACTTCCTAAGAAACAAATTTGTTATTGATGATATTATCGTTTCTTGGGAATATATTAAAAAATGTTTACGAACATGATAAACAATATCCTATACGTACAGCGCCAAAATTGACCGAATTACATATATCTCCTAACAATTTTGAAAATATGAAAGTGAAATATGCTTCTCAGATATTTAGTAACACTGTTGCTGCCGGTCTGCATCTGTACATTAGATTTATTTTATTCGTCGAGGAAGCAACAACAACCGAAAGATTTATTAGGAACATTAATAATTTATTTGATATGCTCAATTCTTCTTCATTAAGAGGAGCAACTGAGTACCAAAGACAGTATAGAGGAACCGATGCTTAGCAAGAATTTCTTAATGCGTGTTTCCGATTGTTTAATAATTTACAGGTAATTAATTTTAAAGCTAAAAATGTAACACCAAGAATAAAACATGTTAATGGTTGGAAAATAACCATTAATGGAGTGATTCATTTGTGGAATCTACTACAGTCACATGGAATGGATTATTTTTTAACAAGGCGGATGAATCAAGATTGGCTAGAAACCTTTTTTGGTTCAATCAGGCAGCAAGGTGGCAATTGTGTTAACCCTACTCCGGTATAATTTACCGCAGCATTCAAAAGATATTTTTGTTTAGACATGATGCATTCCCGTAAGCGAAAGAGATGCAGGCCATATTTAGTTAAATGTAACCGATATAAGTACCGACGATTATCTGCCTGAAACCACTGCTTTGGTTCCTGAAAACACTTTGGATGACCAAAAATATCAAACTTCAAATAAATTACAGAAAAACTTCACAAGATATATATGTATATGTGATATATATATATATATATATATATATATATATATATATATATATATATATCGGAAAAAGGAGTACGAAAGTCAAATTCCAATATATAAAAGGATCACTCAACAGAGTGGTGGGCTCTTATATCGGTCAATTTGTAGGTGGAGAAATGAAAGACAAAGTTGATGTGCCACTCTATCTATTTTGAAGACGTTTCGCTTTCGTATTCTGAAAGCATCATCAGTTCATTCTAAAAAGTATAATATAAGAACCACACAATCATGGAAAAGATGTTACAGGTATTACCTTAAAAAGACATGTAGCAGTAAAAGATGTTAACAAGCTTATGAATTAAACTTGAATAAATGGACATTATAAAGTAGAAATGTATAAACATTTAATTTACTAACAACATTTAGTGACTTATTAAAAAATTAGCACAGTAAGTGACCATGTGGTCCGAAGTATAAAAAATATATTAAATTATAACTTAAATGATGCAAAGAACTAAGAAAATCAACGATTAACGTTCTTTGCATCATTTAAGTTATAATTTAATATATTTTTTATACTTCGGACCACATGGTCACTTACTGTGCTAATTTTTTAATGTCACTAAATGTTGTTAGTAAATTAAATGTTTATACATTTCTACTTTATAATGTCCATTTATTCAAGTTTAATTCATAAGCTTGTTAACATCTTTGACTGCTACATGTCTTTTTAAGGTAATACCTGTAACATCTTTTCCATGATTGTGTGGTTCTTATATTATACTTTTTAGAATGAACTGATGATGCTTTCAGAATACGAAAGCGAAACGTCTTCAAAATAGATAGAGTGGCACATCAACTTTGTCTTTCATTTCTCCACCTACAAATTGACCGATATAAGAGCCCACCACTCTGTTGAGTGATCCTTTATATATATATATATATATATATATATATATATATATATATATATATATATATATATATATATATATAATATATATATATATATATATATATATATATGTATATATTCACAAGTCTTAGGAAACATGTTTGTCTAATCTGTGAAGCATATGGGAGAGAGTACGGTGAACTACACGATTCGTCTCTGTTTTGTTACGTTAAAGCCTACAGTGGTAATGAAACAAACGTTTTTGGCAAGCTCTATATGCCGAGCCAAAATTTTGTGCAGTATGTTACAGATTTGAAAATTATTTTTCAAGAGAATTTTCAAAATTTTAGTCATCAACCGAAAATCTTACAAAACTACGTTAGCTTATTCGAAAAAATACCATATACGCATCCTTGCAGCAATTTTCCAAAGGGCTATCTCATTAGATTATAGGCTAGAATAAGAATATATTACACATTAAAAATAATTAATAGAAATTTTAAAGTATCTAAGACAAAAGGACATAGGAAATAAATAATTTGGAAACATAATTAGCTTTAAAACGTGCTTTTGTTTGGGGTTATATAACTGCGGACACTAAATACATTCTCAAATTTTAATTTTTGTTTTTACTTATAAGTCATGATTTGTATACAATTTTATGCGTAAACTAATACTAACATTAATTTCTAATAAATAATCCTTTATATATTTTTTGATAATTTAGTTATTTAAGTAATTCATAATTTAGTTTTATAATGTATTTTTTTGATAATTACTTCTTCTATAATATAATAAATTCTTATGCAGCTCTATATATATTTCAAGAGCTATTTTGCCATATATTGTTCAAGTTCCTTATTTTTTTAGGAGGAGAATAGAAATCACCCGGTACTCTCTCCAACTATCTGAAATATCTTCTGATTTGATTTGTTCTTGATTTAAAAAAAAATTAATAGTGTTCTTTTTCTATTTTGATATAAATTTTTCAACATAATATACCGTACCTACATATATTCCTATTCCCGGCGAAGTATTTTTCTTATTCTTAAGACTGATTTCTAATTCATACAACCTAAATGTTACTGAAAGTGGATAATATTGTGTAATAGATAACACTGGACATAATTTTCTTAAAAACGCATCAACTCATTCTCCTTTGATCACTGTATTTACTTATAGTTTAAAAATGGATTTGACTAGACTATCTCTGGCAGACATCCTGACAATGCAGATGCTTTGTTGATCTGACTCCTCACGTCCTTACTAGGGCACAATTTAACTTGAAAAAAATAATTTTATTACCGTTTCGACTTCCAATTCGGACGTCGTTGTCAAAATACAAAATAATAATTTATTTTTGTATTTTGACAACGACGTCTGACTTGGAAGACGAAACGTTAATAAAATTATTTTTTCAAGTTAAATTGTAGCTTATTTCCGAATTAGAATAGTTGATATTCGTTTATTTTATTAAAAAATTGTTGAAATTGTTAAAAATAAGAAAGACGAAGAGAATTTTTTTTATTTAAATTTGTGGCTAAAAATCAACACAAAACATCTTTTCAGAAGTTTGAATTTGAATTGATGTATTCTTGCACATTACGCGATTGATTTGACGAAAAGACTATTGCAAAATTTAATTAATTTTTTGCAGACTACAACTAGAACTAAACGAATAATGCAGAAAACACAAAAAATCTCCGATATAACCAAATTCACCTACGAAATGTAAATAAGGACAAAATTTCATAAATGTCAAAATTTCATAACAGTGGAGTAAACTTGCCTGCCGTTGGACGAATTATAAACAAGCGTTATGACGCGGTAAACTTGAATTACTCCTCCTGGTTTAAAAACAGAGTATAGTAATGCCGATGCCGTGAGAGCTTCGAAATTAACTTCCTTTTTATTTAACGTTTATATGACATGTACAATATATTAAAAATCATTGAGATTTTAAAACTTGCGCAATACCGATGATATTTAAAATACCGTTGAAAAATATAAACAATGAATTATAATATTGTTTTTAATTTATTAAACCCTTTGTTTTTGTAATATTAACATTTAGTGAGAACATCTGGATAGTTAAATATGGGAAGCCGCATTTTTTATTTAAATAAATTAATAGTAGTAGGCTCAGAAAATTTTAATACGGCTCTGTAAGGTTAACAGTGGTGGATTACCAATTTCGTACTTTGCCGGTATTACTTCCTGAGATCAAAGTGCCGACAGACGAGTAGTTTTACTGTGGAACCTCTTTATACTGTGCCTCTACCATCATGTCTAAGAACTCTGAGCAAATCTAGTGTACTTTACTCCTCTTATATAATAAGTTTTTATATTTCATCATTTAATTATTTATTCTTCTGACTTTTAGGGTTTCCTGAAAAAAAGAAATATGCACCAAAAACACAAAACGCCAGTAATACAACCGACAAATAGCAGCTTATATAATTTTTGTGAAGATATATCATCTCTAGCTAACTGGATAAAAGATCGGCGACAAGATTTAACAAAACACAGTGACAACGCTAGTTCAATTAAAAATTGGCCAATGCAAAAGACTAGTATAGGTATTCAAGTGAAAAATTGTAATTCAACTGTAGCTGCTCAAACTGAAAACTGTAATTCAACTGTAGCTGTTCAAACTGAATCTTGTACTGTGGACATAGGAATTCAAGTGAAAAATAGTAGTTCAAGTGTAGCTGTTCGATCTAAACGTTTGGCTAAAGATGTAGGTATTCAAGTGAAAGATTGTAATTCAACTGTAGCTGTTCAAACGGAATCTTGTACTGTGGACATAGGCATTCAAGTGAAAAATTGTAGTTCAAATGTAGCTGTTCGAACTAAACGTTTGGCTAAAGATGTAGGTATTCAAGTGAAAGATTGTAATTCAACTGTAGCTATTCAAACTGAACGTTATACTACGGATAGAGGTATTCAAGGGGAAGATTGTAATTCAAATTCAGTAGTTCGACCTGAACTTGGTACTATGGAAATAGGGATTCAAGTGAAAAATTTTACTTCAAGTGTAGCTCTTCAAACTGAACCCGGTACGACGGATGTTAATAGTAAACTTTACAATGAAATGCCCTTTAATTCTGTTTGTATGCAGATAGATAACTTTAAACTTAAAAAGAGAAAACTAGAAGATTCTAAAGAAGAATATCTAAAATCACTAGAACTAGTTAATAATGTCAATAAGCACATGATCCATCAAAATAACTCTTACAAAATAACACCACGCTTAAGAAATAGCGTGCCAGTTAACAAACACATTTTAGAAACTATCCCATCAACACCTAAACTTACAAGGCGAAGAGCAATGAACAATACTACTGAACCTGTCAAACTAGAAATTGGATCTCCAATGGATATAAATAATGATTCAATTCATATAAAAACATCACCTAGATCTAACACACCTGTGAATTCTGTAAATGACAATCTTTTAATACCTTATACTGGGGAGTCTCTTGTGCTGTGTAAAATATGCGATGCTGCTTTATTGCCGAATACTTTGAAAAAACATGAACTAATACATAGAAAGTGCTCCATATGCAAAAAGACTTTTCGAACAGTGAAAAAATTTAAGGTAAATATCTTTTCATTTGAATTTTTTTATTATTTATTGTTTGCTTTTCCTTACTATTGTTCTGAAGCTATTTTATTGTGGCATCTTAATACAATATAAGGGAGGGGCTGGTACAGTGGCCACCTTTCGCGTAAATTCAAGATAACTTTAATATTAATGAAATATATTAATGAATATCAACTCAGAATACAAGTGACAGAAATTAGAAAAGCTATAAAAGAACTGAAAAACGGTAGGTCTCCAGGACCAGGGGATATCCCAGCCGAACTAATAAAATGTGGATCACAAAAATTGTTTGAAACCGTTACTTGGTGCATAAATCAATTTATAAATGGTTCTCCCGTACCCGAATGGAAATTGCTTAGATTTCGTCGATCCATAAGAAAGGAAATAAGCTTAAATGTTAAAACTATTGAAGGATATCAGTCACTAATACATTCAGCCGTTTCTATGGACGAATAATTAGAGACCGCATTGAGAAGGAATACAAAGACCAAGAGGAAGAAGAACAATCCGGTTTTCGAACAGGAAGAAGTTGTACTGATAATATCTTCTGCCTCAAACAACTAATAGAAAAAAAAATTAAGCACAAATCAAGAAACCCAACCCATGTTTATTGAACCTGCAGAAGGCTTACGATATAGTTCCTGTAAACAAACTCTGGAACGTGTTACCTTAATAAAATTTGTATGAAGGGTCAACATCACAAATAAAAACTGGAAACAGACTATCGCAAAGCCTCCTGGTTAATAAAGGTCTACGTCATGGGTGTTGTGTATCACCGACTTTGTTTAAAATATATGTTGCAATAGCATTGAAAGAGTGGAAACGAAAATGCAGAGGCATGGGCGTAGACCTTGGAGAAATTTGCTTGTATACATTGCAGTTTTCTGATGACTAGGTCGTTATAGCAAACGATAAAGATGATCTGGAGTACATGGCAAGGAAATTACAAGAAGAATATAGAAAGTGGGGACTAGAAATTAATACAGAAAAAACAAAATACCTGTCAATAGGTACCGAACTATCGAACATCACATTAGAAAATAACGGAATCATCATGCCCTGCGACCACTACACATACCTAGGAGTCGTTTTTGACACAACGGGGAAAGACGACGAAGAAATAAAGAGAATAATGACACAATCCAGAAAAAAAAATAGGTTGTCTAAACAGCGTACTGTGGAGTCATGAAAAGGAAAAAAAAGAAAACACAATATCTACGAATCTCTTATTAAAAGCAGTCTATTGTACAGCAAATTGGCAAATAACCGAAAACAACAGAAGAAAACTAGAGGCAGTAGAAATGGACGCTTTTAGAAGATCAGTAGGAGTGCTACGCAGAGAGAGAATAGGTAATAATGAGAAGACAGCGAATGAGAGTTGACGACTCTAACAATAGACATAGAAAGAAAACAGCTGATATGGTACGGACACGACCAGAGGATGGATAACTCAATACTCCCAAAAATAATTATGCAATTGGTACCACCAAACCGCAAAAAGAGAGGAAGACCCAAGAAATCTTGGAGAGGGAGTAACGAAGGCGATGAGCGCAAGAGATCTTAGAGAGGGCCAATGGGATGATAGAGTGTCATGGAAATTAGGCATCGGACAACGTCGCAAGACGTTTTAAAACCGATTGATATATATATATATATATATATATATAATATATATATATATATATATATATATATATATATATATATATATAAGGTAGTCCAAAATTTTTTTTGACTAGTTTGGAAAAATATGTAAATGCTTTTTTCGTTTTGGGTGTGGTAGTCAATAAAAAATAGAGCTTTGCTAAGGCGTAGTATTTATTCTGAAATCCGAGCTTTCGGTGGTTGTTTGCCACCTTTATCAAGGTCTACAATGAAAATTACTGTGTTATAAACTTAGGCTGATGTAATATAAAAGTTATAAAAACTTACCAGAAAGTAAGATTCATAGCATATAAAACACAACGTTAAATAACATAATGTGATCTGAATTACTGAAGGCATTAAAACTTAAAAATTTTAAAATAACTTAAAAATTAAAGAACATGTTACAAAGTTTAAAATGTAAAAAATAAGACGACATGTTTGACAAAAAACAGTCGTCTTCGCAGGTTTGAATTCAGTCACATCTCACGAACAGAAAGAGGCAGTAGGAGGAACTATTGTTGTTTAAATATTTCGATGTAACTACAACAAACAAACTTTCAAATTGATGTCTAACAAAATACCGTTTGTGATTTTAAGTACTACCAACCATGTTACCAACTTTAAATTGAGAGGGAAATTTAAAAAAAGTTCATTATGTCAAACAATAAAAAGAAAATAGTATTTAGTAAGTTGGTTTAGAAAAAACAAACAACCAAAAACAAAATGAACCATCTGAATAATAACTGAAGTTAATAATGATAATTATAGCAATTAATAATGGAATTTAAGAAACAAGACATGAAACACTCTGAGATGCAGAAGACCCTAGTCAAAAGTCAAAATAAAATTGTAAATTTTGCTAAGATTCTGGATCTCAGATCTTTTATTCAGATTGTTGTTATCATTCCTGCTGATATGTACCATTTCTAAGAATGTTCTCTTAAATTTATTTTTCTCTCTGGCTAATATTTTTACATTGTTGAAATCTATCTTATGGTCTAGATCGATAGTGTGTTCTGCCAAAGCACAAGTGGGTTTATTTAGTCTACAGTCACTCTTATGAGAAATGATACGACTAGACAGATTTCTTCCAGTTTCACCAATGTACGTGGATGGACATTCAGTACATTGAATGCAATAAACAACATCTCTTGACTCTAAAGTAGTTAGGGGTTGTTTTATTTTGCTATACAGCTGACGTATGGTTTTGATGTTCTTGTTAGCTATTTTGATGTTCTTAAATTCTTTGAAAATTTTAGTAAGTTCTACGGTTAGTTTTGGAATATACGGAAGGGCATAAAAATACACACTTGTTTGAGAAGAATTGTTTTGTGCTGAGGGCACTGATTGAGAATTAGTGAGAATGTTATTTCTGTTAACAAATGGAACATTAAAAATTAATTTATTAATCAGTCTTAGAGGATATGAATTTTCAACAAAAATATTCCGTAAGAGGTTAAGATCATGTTGGAGATAATCTGGATGTGATAACCTTTTGACACGTTCTTTCATTGCTAGGACTAGGTTGGTTTTCATTCTAGGAGGATGATGGGAATGGTAGCTTATGAATCTATTGCTACATATAGGTTTTCTATACCATTGTGTTTTCACAACATTATCCTCACATCTATGCAAACGCATGTCAAGGAAGGGCAAAGATCCCTCCCGCTCTTCCTCGCATGTGAATTGCAAGTGTGGGTTTTGTTGGTTGAAAACATTTAACGTAAATTGTATAGAGTCTGCTGGTAGTGCCAAGATTAAGCCATCCACGTATCTCTTTATAAAAGGTATTTCAAAATTGATTTTTTGCAAACAATCTTTAATCAAGTCGTCTAAGACATAATTACAAAGAATTGGTGAAATGGTGGAACCCATTGGAGTACCAAAGACTTGTTTGTCAAAAAACAAGGTGCGTTTGAGGTGCGTTTTTAACCATATAGTCTTTAAAAAAATTCCTAGGGAATACTAAAAACGTCGGAATCGAATTACCTATAGCGATTATTGCATTGCACATAAATACCAAAGTGCCTAAACACTGTTCCTGCATAAGTATGTGAGCACCAAAAGCTCATTGTTTAGGAGGCATAACTTAAAATCTACTACTTTAAAGGTAGATCATAATTTGCATCACCTGTAAGTTTTAAATACTATACTATATACCACAAACCATACAGAACATTTAATATGTATATTATTATTGGTTGAAAAGATGTTTAAACTTACCTGCTACAACACACCTCTCAACAGGTTCGTGTACAAAATGGTTCTGAAAACGATGGTGCAGGGGTCAAGCGTAGTAAGCGATTACTGTGACTAAAATTGTTAGCATTTGTACTAGATGGCTCGTCTGTATCTATCAAAAACAACAAAATATTTAAAAGTGGCAACTGTACCTGACTGGCCACTATTCCAGCCTCTCCCCTACTGTTTTTATTGGAAATAAGCAACAATTTTATTTTAATTTTAAAATAAGTTTATTTTGACGTTTCGATTTCCACTTTGGAAATTGTTCTCAAAATACAAAATATTAATAAATTAAGCAAATTTTCTTTTTTTTTTACTTGGTAAAAAAATTCTAATAATTTAATTTTATCCGATTATTCATATTGACAACTTAGACATATATTATACATTTTAAAGTAGATGAGTTTAAAATGATATCAATAATTTTGAGTTGCGTTCCTGGGACGACTTTATTGAAAGATGGTGTATTGGAAAATTTCGGTTATATAAAATTACCTTTAATTTAATAACACCCGTAAAAAAATCATAGCACGTGATTTATCTTTAAAAAGACAACTGCATGCAATGACAGTAAAATCAAAAAATATAGACGCATATAGAAGAATCTTTCACTGTCATTTTGTAGAGTCGGCAAAGGCTATACAAAAAACAATGAGAAGTTGATCGTGATGTTAGTTCCTTATTTGTACCACTAGGGAGCGGTCATGTCAGCGCTGTTACTGCTTCTAAAATAAGAAAGAGTGGGGCAACAAATGCAACTTTAGATTTTTTATATGTAGATACCGCGTGGTCGTAAAATAACATAAAATTTTTGTGTTTTATAAAATTTTTTGAATAAAACAAAATAATTTTAACTTTTAATATATGAATCTTTTTAGAAAAAATATTATGATTCAAATTTTAAATTTAAATATGTACAAATTTACAAATAATATAATTAATACTCTCTTCTTACAAACTATACATGAAATTAATTAAAAGTCAATCACCGAGAGAAAAAATCGGGCTCAAGCTAATTTGATCATTAACAAAGTGGAGCAAGCACTTGATGAGGCTCCTATCGGAGGTCAAAATAAACTTGTGCAGTTCCATAAAATATCGTTTAGCGAAGGGACCCTGTGGATGAACTGTGTTAACGAGTATACAAAAAAAAATGGACGACTGAAGTGGTAAAGACTATCGAGAGCCTGTGGGAGGGAGCAAACCTAAATATAATTGATCCAAATAAGATGCCCAAGTGCCCCATGGCCCTCACTGGCGTCCCCGATAAAGAGCTTGATGAAGAAACCATCAGGAGCCGTCTTAAGAGGCAAAATCAAGACCTTAACACAGAAGACTGGTTGTGATCTCTGTTCCACAGACTGAACAACGGTCAAAATGAAGGTCATAAAGGAAGAAAGTATGAAGGAGATAGTTCTCAGATCAGCATACCTCCCATATGATGATCCCGAACAACCATCAAGGGAGTTGGAACAGTTAGTGAGAGATTGCATGAAAAATGAACTGCAATTAATCATTGGTTATAAAACGAATGCCTACCATCTGACCTGTAGCAGTACAAACAACAAACTGTTAAAAAATGACATGCCAATTTATACATAAAATTGATTTTAATTTTAATTAGTTTATTTTCAATTAAGTATAAATCAGTTTAAGCCTATATTGTAATAATTTGACTAATATTTATTCATTGTGAAAATTGTGTTGTACTATTAGAAATATTAAATAATATCTATACAGCGTAAACACAATTTTGACCAATAAATTAAATAAATACTAAAATTCTAGTTTGGCATTTAATTAATAAAAATTCTAACGTCCGCCTTTGGTTATTTGTCAAAAAAGTTGACGTTTGTCAATTATCTAGTTGTTTTTAGTTTGCAAAAGCGTTTATAGCTAAATATTTAGTTTCTGTTTCTGCTTAGTTTAGGCAATTCAAGTTTGGTCTAGTTGTTTTTAGTTAGTTGTTCTTAGTTAATATTTAGTTTAATTTTTTAACGAGACGTTTCAATTTTTACAAAGGGAGAATGGTACGTACTAATAATTTGTGAATGTGGAAATAATTTCCATGCAGCGGAACGTCTTTTTAATAAGAGGTACCCCGATTGCCCTACATCTAAAGCTTATTTGAGGAAGCTTCTTCGCAAATTCAAACAAACAGGTAGTGTTCAAGATGTCAAACGATCTAGTCGACCAACAATTAATGATGACAAAAAAAAATTGACATAATTTCAGAAATGGTAGTGAACCCTACTTCTACATCCAAGTTGCATATATTTATGGAATCAGTTAAAAGACACACACCGAATGTTGGCTGAAAAAAAATGTCATCCATACAAATTAAAAATTGTGTAACAACTTTCAGATGATGAACCTAACCTAAGACTAGAATTCTGTGAAAATATGTCCAATAAAATTAACCAACAGCCCTATTACATAAAAAACAATTTGTGTTAGTGACGAAAGTACTTATTCTCTCAATTTAAATGTTAACACACAATTTAAGGTATTGGAGTGACACGAATCCTCACGTCTTTCGGGAAACACATACTCAATTTCCCAAAAAAAATAAATGTTTGGGCAGGTGTTTTGAAAAACCACATAGTTGGTCCTGTTTTCTCAATACTAACTTAACCGGTGAAGTGTATCTGGAGATGTTACAAAATGCAATTGAACCGTTAATACTTGAAATTCTGGAGGACAATCCAGATGAATTCATCAACTAGCCTCTAACGTCCACTGCTGAACATAGGCCTCTCGCATGCTCTTCCACTTAGTCCGATTTTGCGCCATCTGAATCCAATGAATCCAGATGAATTCGGCAACTTGGAAATAACGTTTCAACAAGATGGTGCTCCTGCACACCATTATGGAGCAGTAAGACGTTACCTAGATGAGGAATATCGTGGTAGATGGATTTGGACAAAGAGGTACGATAGAATGACCATCTCTCTCAATCACATTTTGAAACAACGAATTGTTGAAGAATGTACGGTAATTTCATTACCTTTCAAACGAGGTATCACTTGCCATAAGGTCCCACTTTAAGTTATCTGTCATAGTGGCGCTGTAATGTCGTCGGTCACTATTACGTCATCTGTTATGTCTAGTTGAGAAGTCTACGTCTGTTTATTACCTCCCTCCAAATTTTACTATTGACAATAATCGTTCAAAAGATACGAGGGGGGGCGGAACGGACTTTTGACTAGCACTGTATAACAATTTTTTATCATGAATGAAAATGTTTAATGTGTTAATATATTTTTTTTTATTTGAAGGAACACCGAGCAGAATGTTTAGGCGGAATAGTTACGAAAGACATGAGCATTCCTCTGAAAAGATTGGAAACATCGGAAGAAATAATGAAAAAGTATTCATATGCTCTGCGGTCTAGCCAAGATTGATATGTTATCACAATGAAGTAATTTACAATAATTTGTTACCTTGTTACGGGTCTTTTGTGTATATATTATCGTAAGAAAATTAATTTGTTACCTATTCGTTGCTGATATATAAGTTTACTATTCTTGTTGGGAATAAGCTACAATTTTACTTTCAATAAGTTTATTTTAACGTTTCGATTTCCACTTCAGAAATCGTTTTTGAGAAATTTCCGAAGTGCAAATAGAAACGTCAAAATAAACTTATTTTAACACGTTTTGCCCCAAATATGTAGCAAGTATGACTGTAGCAATTTGGCCCACAGTAATATTATTGTACTTCGAAATGTGGATCTACATAAGAATTCTACGCATGTCCTGGACAAAACATAGAACCAACCTTCCGATCCTGGATGAGCTTGATATAAAATATAGGGTATTAAAAAAAGTAAAACTAGCATATCTAATTTACTTCGGCCACATAGCTAAAAGAACGGGGACCATGAAACTATTGTTAATAGAAGGAAAGGTAGACAGCCGAATACCAAGATTAAGATCTCCAACACGATGGGCAGATCAAATGAAGACTGTGATAGGAAAATCCCTACATGAAGCCATAAATATGGCACAGGATCGTTCCCAATGGAGACAGCAAGCTAATAATATCACTACGCCCTGACGAGCGTCACTCATCGAGAAAAAGACAGAAGAGGTAGTGGGGGCAAAAATATTGTTAGATGAGAAGTGCTATTTTGGGAGGCCACAGTAAACAAGGAAAGAGGGTCACTTTCCTTGTTTAAGAAATCAAATTTAGTTGGGTTATGTTATTGTTTGTCCCAACTGCCACATGAAAGCTTATTTATATTGAAGTTCTGTAACAATTGTGTCACATTTTAGACTATTATCGTTATTGTTTAATTAAAACTTTCTCCTCTAAGAATCATTCTGAAAAATAGTTATAGCTACTTTTAATTTGGCGTCTTTGAATTCCTGGATATGTCCTCCATATTAGGAGGCCACTTTTGGTCTCCTTTTGGGAATTTTGTTCTCCCTTTTATAACGATTAGATTCCCTCTTTTGTCTTTTGGCTGGATGGTGTCACTACGCCCTGACAAGGGCCCAAGGAATGAGGAGGAGGATTATTGTATTTAAACGTGGCGACAGAACGTTTGGTCTGAGACGAAATAAGCGAGTCAATGTGTGGAGCTAAACGTGTTAAAGTAAAGTTGTGGTTTATTCTCAATAAAACTAGTAAATTGTATTTAGATGCCACAAGAAAAGGCTTCAGAACAATATTGACATATTCACGCTTCTTGCTAGTGTTTGAAGTAAGAAAACTGTTTTTTTTTTGTTACTTAAAGCACTAGCAAAATTAAAGAAATGTGTCTTGAAAAAACGTATTGATGAATGGAAAATAAGTGGGAAACGATGAAGAAGGCGGTGTAACGATTTTATAGAGGTTCTTAAACTGTTTTCTTGTGGCATGTCTAAATTAAATATGTTTATATGGGATTAACACTTTGACCACCGTGTGTATCCAAAAGTATGCACACGCGAGGATCAAAACCGCTGCGTGTATACACATGCAAATTTTTGGTTGGAGCCATGTGCATATTCAAAGAGCTTGAGAAATTAGCAGTGAGAAATTGAAGTTAAGTTTACATTTTGTATTACAATTTTATTAGCTATACCGTTTTATACTATTGTTATAAAAGAACAAAAAATTTTACATAATAAGAAAAAAATATAAAAAAAAAACATTATTTTTATTACAAATATGATTGTCATAAAAGCATTCCAGACACAAAAAATGTTCTTCACAATTGGCAAATTAAAACCAAATCATATTTGGTTTTAACTTGCCTTAAATTTTTCGTTGCGTATGCGCGCCCATTGCCATCTTTATATTTTTTATAGCATATAGTACAAAGTCCTTTTTTCAGTTGGGATCAATCTGTGTATTAGTCATCGAGCAAAAAGACAAAAGAGGGAATCTAATCATTATAAAAAGGAGACCAAAATTCATAAAAGTGGCCTCTTAATATGGCGTACATATCCAGAAATGCAAAGGAGCCAAATTTAAATTTTCCGACACTTATCAACAGTAGCTATATAATATTTTTCAGAATGTGTCTTAGACGAGAAAGTTTTAATTAAATATTAATGATAATAGTCTAAAATGTGACACAATTGTTAAAAAACTTCAATATAAATAAGATTTCATGTGACATTTGGGACAAATAATAACATAACTAAACTAAATTTGATATCAAACAAGGAGAGAGACTCTTTCCTTGTTTAAAGTGGCCTCTAAAGATCGCACTTTCTGTCTAACAATATTTTTGCATGTCAGTTGGGACAAACAATAACAATCCAACCAAATTTTATTTCTTAAACAAGGAAAGAGACTCTCTTTCCTTGTTTATACTAAAGCAGTTTTTACTTAAAGACTATTTTTTAGCAACATCGCATTTAAATCTACGAAAGGAAATTTCCCTTATCAATTTTGCAGTGGCGTACCAAAATAAAATTTTAATTATTTATTTAAATACATACGTAATTACCTAAAAATTAAATCTAAGACCGATATAATTATTAAATTATTATCTGTGTCTTGACGGATAAAGTAAAAGCCATATAAGAAGAAAGGTTAGTAATTAAGCAATGATCAATAGGCATCAAACAATTTTTAAAATTTAATTTCAATTATTTAAAAAGTAAATTATATAATTTCATATGTTTTATTATTGTTCTAAAGCTATTTTCTTGTGGCATTTTTAAGTAATTACTATTTAAATGAGAATAAGCCACAATTTAAGGTTAAAGTAAGTTTATTGACGTCTCAATTTCTACTTCAGGAATCATTCTCAAAATACAAACAGTGGTAAATTAAACAAATTTTATTTCTTTCTTAATAAAGAAACAAAATTTGTTTAATTTACTACTGTTTGTATTTTGAGAAGGATTTCCGAAGTGGATATTAAAACGTCAATAAACGTACTTTAACCTTTAATTGTGGCTTATTCCCATTTAAATAGTAATTACGTATATTTTATGTTCCGTAAGAAAATTTTTTTGTTCCGTTAAAAGCAAATGAAATGAATATAATATTTATGTATAATTTATTACACACAATAAAATTTATTTTATTAATGACATTTTTAATATAGAAATCATTCAGTTTACTTTGTTATACTATAACTCTCCATATAATATAATCTCTCTCCTATGGCGCTACAGCCCACGTTAGGCCCTGTTCTCTCCCAGCATCCTCCTCTAAGCACCTCTTTCCTTGGCTATTCTCCAGTTATCCACCCTCATTATCTCTTTAGCATCGGTTCTTACTTCGTCTATCCACCACTTCCTTGGATTTTATATTGACCGACGTCCCATCATAGTTCCACTAAGCGTTCTAAGCTCCTACTAGGTGATCTATTATTATCCCAAAGCCCAAAATAATAGGAAAAGAGTAACTACTAGGGAATATATCAAAGATACTTGATGTTTATGAAACTATGTTTTCATAAACATAGACACTTTCTCTGTCAAACTAACCTAAAATAAATATAAAAAATAGAAGAGACATGGAAACCGTAGTAATAAGTTTAGACAAAAAGAAAAAGAAAATCAAATTAATAATGTCAATGATTTTACAACACAATACTCACAAGGGTAAGCCTGTTGAAGATACAACAACTTCATTGTTCTAATGATATTTGTTATGTTAATTTTTAGTATGTTTTGAAAAAGAGTTAAATAAACTCGAATATACTACGGAACTACGGAATATAATATATCGTATTCATACAGTGAATTTATTATTTATTTTTATTCTAATAATTTTTGTTTAATTTTGTGACGGATAATGTAGGTTTACCAACTAAACAAAGTTATGCACTTGCAAGAACATATTGTTATTAGAAAAATAAAGTTCCATTCACACATGTCATTTAAAAAGTGATTTATGTTATCTAAATTACTGTTATGGACAAAGAAATATGTGTTACAGCCGCGATATCTGTGAATATCGTATTACCATAAAATTCCACCGTTAAAATTAGGCAATAAGTTAAACACTGAGATTGCAAAATTTTTTGGGCAAAACTTTGCAAAAACTTTAAATAAGACTTTTAAGGATGATGATCTTCTTCCTTGATTACATGAGCTACGGCATTAGCCCAATCTTCTTTTCGTATCCAATCCAATGCGAATTTCAACAAAATTGGACATCAGAAATTTTATATGTCACGTTTTCACGATCTATATAACCCTTTATTTGAGCCCAGATTAATTCTGTCGGGTTCAACTCGCAATGGTAAGGGGGAAGTCTCAAAATAGTAATGCCTTTAGCACGTGCCATTGTATCTACAACATGCTGGCGATATCTGTCATGATGCTGTCTAATTACATTTATAAGCTCAGTCTTAACCATGTCCTCGGAAAATGGAATTCCTTTTTGTCTTAACTAACTCTGCATATTTGCTTTTCTAGTGGCCATAGTTGGCAGATGTTTTGTTAATCGACTATGATAAGAAACGTTATCCATCACTATTATGGAATTAGGCTCGACTCGTGAAAGAAGGGATTGAAACCTTTTTTCAAAACGTTGGGCGTCCACGTCTTCATGGTAATCCCCCGTTTTTTTAGATAAAAAAATTAGTGCATTATCTTCTAAAAATCCACTCTCACTACCTATATGGGCTCAATTATTCGTTGCTCTTTACTCGTTGGTCCTCGTAACCCTGTTGATAAACCATCCACAAATGCTTGACGATAACTCGTTATAGTAGTATCTTGCCAGATCTTAGATACTGTGGGACCAGCATTTACCCACGTTTCGTCCAGATAATAAATCTTTTTGTGGGCAGAATGAACCTCTCTAATAGAACGAAGATATCTTTTTACAAGAATTTGGAAGACAGATTTACGGGCATACATAAATTTTAAATCTTCTTTTATTATTTTCCTTAACGTCTTTTTGCTCATTTTTGGAATCAGACTCCATTACCTTTGTCCTAATGGATTCGAGGGTTGGCGCTGT